GGAAAGATATGCATGGGCCACGATTACCATAAGTACTACAACGCCTTCCTGATTAATGTGCCATTATAATAATTTTAAAAATCTTGCGTAGAAGAATTATCTCTATGCTGCGTCCCCACATCGACCCGCAATGTCGCCAATGGGTTAAACCGAGTTATAACTAAAAAACGAAAAGAATGAACGCGAAATCGCGTTTTTTGCGTGAATTTTGCAGTTTTTACGGTGAGTACCGTACAAGATAACACAGAAATTTGCTGAAGTATTGACTCTGATGCCCTTAAAAGCACTCACAGAAGTTTGAAAGTGGAGATTCTTCGAGTCGCTGGCCTTTTCCGTTCCCAAGACCGACATCAAGAGGCATTGTGACAGGATGGAAAGAAATGCCTTCAAAAGAGAGTTGGTTCCAGCATATTTTTCATATTGCATCAAACTATGATTTATTTATGTGTAATTTTAGGCCACGACCCTATTGGTGCTTTTCCTTTAGTCGGTAATGCTAAGGTTGGATTGTCGTCCACGTCAATTCGTTCGGTTGGGTTGAGCGCATCAGATAATGTCGATGTAATTGCTTGGAATTCCTACTTCCGAAGGCATTGAAATGGTGTGAGCTTGGAATAGAGTTTTCAGAACTACACGTACGACTTGCCTTTGCTTCAAGAGAAGCCGCATCTCTCAGTCTGTCAATTCATCAATCAGATGCGCTCAGATGCATCCGAACTCCAGGCTATTGTGATGGATCTACAGCATTTGGTACGCTTGTGGTGGACCCATGGTCCAGACTTGTTACTTATATTTTAGTGCGCATTGTTTAGGTTAGTCAAATGAATGACGGGAGCATATCAACCGAACAAATTGAGCGTTACCTGCATTATTCAGAAGAGGTACTGACATTCTTACGCCTACAACCATACACCCGTTCACGCTACTCCTTCCCTAAACATTTTCTTAAATTTTACCGATGATTACGCACCTACTAGACCTTGGTCGGCAAAAAAAAGATAAGAGTTTTGACGAATTGTATTGAGGACCCTGTAGGTAGCTGTACTTCAGAAATGTTCGCATTTGAAATATCGCAAATTTTAGGCTGATCGAAGACGATTTACAAGTGGTTTGGAGCAGTTGAAGCACTCAATTGCCAATCTCTCGAGCAAGATTAGCACTGAAATAGGAAGAGATGTGATCTCAGAAAGGCACTCGACACAGGGTCAATCATGCTATGATTACGCCTTTCCTCTGTGAATTCCCAAGACTTTCCTCTGCCGTTCCAAACATCGATGTATAGCGGACGGTCTGTTCTAATCTGATCCCCACACCTCTCCGCGAGCAATTCCACAAAGAGAAATAAATATTGACTACTCTTGTTTCATTGGCATTTCACTAATTCATTACATAAATATCCGTTCTAAAGATAGACAGGCGCAGGAAAATAAGAGCTGCTCATTCACGATATTTATCCTATTACATTCTTAATGTGATACTTCCCAAGTAGTAATATGCTTTCTCACAGTATTTACATACTTTTCACTTGTACAGGGAGAATGGGGGGGGGGGGAGTGCAAACAAAAATTATAACTTCTTATAATGTATGCTATACGAAGTTATTACGAGGAAGTTACGGAATAAATGTGAGTTGGCAGTTCAAGAGTGGAGTGAGTGGAGGCTGATAAATGCGTGCAGTGCAAAGTTGCAAAAAACTCCGCCTGGGATTGTGTAATCGGATCTGTTTATTTTAGTCCCATTGACCCACAGTACAACGGAACAATTCAGGCAACCAATTAGGGGGTCGTTTTACGAGCTAACCCGATAGCCAACATCTTGCCAACAGACACAATGCTTTATTTTATACGCTTTCCATAGTAAAGCTATATGGTGCGGCCGCTCGGTGTGAATTTCCCTTCTGAATCGAACGTTATCGGCAATGCATTGGCGGAAGCGGGGAGCACAGTGAGGTTTGGAGAGCCCAGTGCGCTGCTTGTGGACCACCTTTGGCCCCGAAAGGGGCACATCTCGCATCTGTGTGTCCGACTACTGTTTTCACTGATGAATGTACTTCCATGCTGCACACATTCTGGTAATCACTCATTTTAATCACACTTCATTAAACTCTGACTGAACTGTTACAGGCAAAATGCAGTTACGTGCAAGGTGAGCTGGAACATAGAACACTCTAAGGCTGGTGTCAGAGTCCGCGATCCGTCGCAGGTTTCGCTGATTTCAGCGATTTTCGCGATTTGCGCGATTTTCGCGAAACCTGCGATGGATCACAGAGTTGGAAGCAGGGTCAACCGTCCGTTCGAACTGTTCGAACGAAGGGGTCGCATTTTGGTCGGAAGGGGGTCGCAATTTCGAGGACTGCCAGCCACAGGCGCGTGCGTGGCGTATCCGAGGGCAAGAATTGCTTGTGCAGACCGCATTAGATTCGATTTATTATGCACAGAGAGACAGTTTTAGGCAAATTACGGTGTTTTCTTAAGGAATAAAGAACAGTTGAATGCATCCCTATGAAAGGTTTGACTTCTCGGGGCTGAAAACAAAGTTCTTTGGAGACCTATTTTTTGGGGACGCTTCTTCCAGACAACTGTAAAACATGTAAGGAAGCGGAAATCTCGTAGTCTTCAAAAATGTCTTTATCCCTCTCCAACAAGCTCTTTGAAGGAAGTTATCATTGCTGAAAGCTCAAAAATCTCAATTCTATAATATCAAACAAGTGGAATCATGAGCAGTCGTCATTCAGCCATCACTATCAAGCAGAAGTGGCGGCGGATTGGAGAACACCTTGCAGTATTGATGGGGCACTTGTGATTTCCGTGACCCGTCGCGCAAATCGCGCAAATCGCGCAAATCGCGAAAATCGCTGAAATCAGCGAAACCTGCGACGGATCGCGGACTCTGACACCAGCCTTAAGCGATCACAAATGTCCAAGAAACTCTGTATACGATCCTCGTCAGAACATTCTGCCAGGCTTACCGATGCGATTCAAGGATCAGCAAGGTTCTCAATTTCTCCTCATCCACACATAGCCTTTCTGTGCTCTACTGTGCTATCTCCGTCTACGCTCGGTACTCGAGATGATTATGGCCATAAGAACTCGACTCGGTAATCACGGTATGGAATGCAGGAAAGATTGTAATCACGAGGAAGGTTAACCACACGTAGCTTAAAAATTGGCGACCACCTCGCCAATACCCTGTAATGAATACAATCACATATCGATGGTCGGTTGTTTCAATATCATCGTGTTTCCTGAAATTTGAGGTAAGACTCAAAAGGTCGCTGCGGGCGGGCCCTGTGCCCATTTGTCCTTTTTCACAACCATTTCGTCGTGGCACCTATCTTGCAATGGACACGCAAGTGCGAGTGAATAGGAAGCTTCCACTGTCAACTAAGGCGTTTGAAGGCATGCATGCAAAAATTCTGTAATGTGCGATACTCAACTCATACGGCTGCTCAGTAACCGAAATAAGATTTATTCAACCGGCTGCAGACTCCATTTCAATCAATTTTCTTCACGCCGTCGTACATTTGGCGTACTGCCTGATATTCGGTCAGACCGAGACGTTGTTTATTCGAAATGTCGTAGATGCCTTCAGCAGACTCCGAGTGTTCGCCGTGGATGCCACGAATCTGAAATTCATTTGAGGTTATCAGAATCACACCCAAAGAGCGGGCACTCAGAATACAGTGGATATCTGAAAGTTGGGGTAGGCGTGTCACAGGAAGTGACGTCCACTTAAAGGAAGCGATTACGATAAGGAATTTTCGCATCGGGGGAGAACCTGCGCCACACGGAGCAATTACTTGGCTGCCAAGGAAGCGATGTGTGGTCCTCCCACGGCGAAAGGTGCTGTGGTTGCTGAGCAGGACCCGCGTGACGCTCCGCCCCCAGTGACGTGACGCCCACTAGTTTTGTTGATGATCTGGATGGACTGTTTGCTGTTGGCTTTTCATTTTGGATGATCATTTCCCTTCTAGCGGCTGTATCTTCCAACTTGCCCACGTATTGCCTTATCAATCAAAACACTATGCTTGTTGGCATGATGGCGGCTATCGGGGTTAACACGTCCGAACAACGTCGTTCTTTACCGTCGCTCATCCATGGTCGAAAATGAAAGGGCAATCAAAGGGGTACTATTTTGCTTATTTTTGACGGATTTCTTTGCTTTTTTCGCCATTGGCGTACTATTGAGACCCCACGTCCCCTCTAAACCCCTTTGAGATCTATCGTAATCGCTTCCTTTAAAAGTTGCATGGATAAGCTGTTGCCAGCATGCGTTGAAAGCAGCTTCATCCACATGACTTCTATCAAGATGCACGTCGCTTCCGGTGACACGCCTACCCCAACTCTCGGATATCGAGTATACGTAAATGAGTGCGCATCTGATGACCTGAAGTTTCATATCAGCGCAAATTTGTTTGAATTCGGGCTTTGCGGATGTCTTCGGTAATTTGATATGCACTGATGCTCTCACTGTGGTGCCTGGAAAGTAACAAATGAAGTTTGCCCTAGATTCAAAATGGAACAAACTGCATCACAGAACACTTTGCCACCTAGGTTAGTTGGGCAGAAGGTCAGCCATCCGAGACGTGGGTGACGAGCAAATGGCGCCTTTGTCGAAATATACGTCACCCCTTTGATAAGACGGCCGAGTACCTGAAAGTTGAGAGAAAAGTTTACCATATTTTGAGCAATGGAGGCTGCTTTCACAGTTCACACACAGCCAGCCACACTCTTCCGCGGGAATTTATTTAGACTACAGACACCTTGATAAGCATCCGTTCTGAAACAAAGGTGCGAAGTAGGATGGGTGATGTATGAAAGCAGCCTCGCATCTGTACTGTGAGTGTGAACCTGATTATAACACTACATTCTCAAAAACTGACCGCGCCAACATCTCCTCCAGGTTGCATAGAGATGATTCTCAAGTGGTCCTCCTCGTTTACCCATACAAGGAACGTTTTGGCCTCATTGTGGAAAATCCCACGTCCTGTTGGCCAGAAACTATAACAGCAGTTTTGACTTGTTTTGTTTGTTAACTGCTGTTTTAACGCCGCAGTTCGCTTGCGAATGTTTCACAAGAATGCTGGGTTGTGAACAAAACTTTCGCCCCAGGCGGGACTAGAACCCGCACCTCTCGCTTTCCGGGCAAGTGCGCTACCAGTTAGAGGTGCGGGTTCTAGTCCCGCCTGGGGCGAAAGTTTTGTTCACAACCCAGCATTCTTGTGAAACATTCGCAAGGC